ATATAAAAACATCAAGCCTGGAAAGGTGGATAAAATCCACAGATAAATGAGAATAACAGCACTGATACTGGTATGGAAAATATGCACTTTATAATACGTGTCAGCCTGTTGTATTCATATACAGGTATTTATCATGTGCCATGTGAGGGAGGTGCTGATTTAATGATGCTTGCACAAAGTCAATAAAGAGTCATAAATCTCCGTCATTAGCTGATCTGACTGACAGTCACATCTGTACCTGACTTTGTAGCTCCGTAGCCTCTTTAGCATGCTGAGTCTCCAGTGTTTCAGGCAGCTGATGGTACAGACAGCTGGTCGCCTCCTTTCTGCTCGCCTCCTTGTACTTGGCCTAAAGAAAACATCAGTCAGATTTGCTCGCAGGTTCAAAACGACATGACCGAACATTAATTGTTGCCATCAGTCTCATTGCTCACAGACTGTAAACACGGAGGGACACTTTTTGGACTGTGACTTACTTTTGAACCAGCGTCTGCAGGTGTAAAGATAATAACTACTGAGTCACTGATTCTTAGGAAGTTACATCCTCTGTGTTTATTGTGCAGCTAATAATAAAACACTTGGATGGATTTATGACTAAATCACTTTTAGTTTAACAGTGAAGAACAGATACAACAGCTCGATTATCCTGTTAACTAAAGATTAAATGCTCACCTCGCTCTGCAGCTCAGACACAGTTCGTGCTAACTGAGTCTCGGCTGTTTCTGGTAGATGCGAGTAGAGACTCTGAGAGAGGCTCTTGATGCCGTTCTCCTTGTATTTACACTGCAGAGGGAAAAACAAAGACCTAAGACCCGGTGAGCCTCAATCCTGAACTCATTCAGACACGAGGAGGAACCAGGAACGAAGAAGAAACCGAGGGAACAGCAGCTGAAATCTTTTGAGGTATTTGTGTGACCTTACTTCACTCTGCATGTCGGACATCTTGGCGGCGAGCTGCGTTTGGGCCGTCTGCGGCAGCTGAGAGTACAAACTGGACGACATTGCCTTCTTCCCGCTCTGCTTGTACTTGTTCTAGGAAGCAGGGAGAGCAAAACTAAATATCAAGTAAATATTTGAGATCTTGACTTTTCCTCAAACAGAACAAGAACTCTGAAGAAATAAAGTTTACATAAAAACATCGTAATAAAGAAATATTTCAGTCTCAGTTTGGTGGTTGTTGTTGTTTTAACTCTTATTGTGAAACTGAAACTCTGAACGAGCTGAAAGTGAATGAATGACCGATGTCCATGAAGAGTCCAAACCACTGATGGACGACAACGTTGAGAACTTCATTTCTTTTTATTGTTCAGTTTTCTGTGACACACTCGCTGCTCTCAGGCTGAACAGATGAGTAACAGCAGCAGCAGCTGGTGTCTCAGTTTTATGAAAATGCTTCATTTACACAGACCTGACCTCTGCGCTGTTCGTAAAGTTTGTAAAAACTGTTTCACTTCAGGTCCTGCAGAGCTGCTGATGTTGGCTCCTGCCTGCATCACAAACAGCTTTATCATCCAGAGATAATAAAACAAAGCCCTTTAATTTAAGGACGACAGCTTTATCGCTGCACAGCTCCAAACGTTACAGCGTGACTCAGGAAACTGAACTCGACTAAAATAAAATGCAACCTGTTCATTTGTTGGAAACAAAAGAAGCAGCTGTGCAGTATTCAGAATCTAAAGAAAACAAATTAAATGCAGCACCAGAGGAGGCACACTGAGTGAGAGGATTCATAATGATAATATTACAGTGTGTGCAATAAGATAAAGATTAAAGTGAGTTTCCTGTATTGGTTATGCCCATGCAGCTCTATTCACTGCAGAAAGTACATGTAGGTAAGCATCCACCTCTTTTCTCTTTCTCGTCACGCCCACTCACAGGATCTTTCCCTTCAAATGGACTTTTTCTGTCCCACAATCACAACGTGCTCACAGGGGTTCTCTCTCTTTACCTTTCAGAATAAAGTGCCCCGAGGCCAACGTTGTCGTGACTTGTTGCTGATTAAAAACACCTCAATTAAATTATAGAAACTACTATAAAGAAAGTTTCAAACTAGTGACAAATAGACAGAAAACTCCAATAACAGAAAGACAACAACACAACATGAACTCATTGCCAAAAACCTGCAGTTCCTCTAGTGACCAGCTCATCTTGTAACCGGAAGGT